TCTTTTTTGCCCACTCTCCTAATCTCCTCCTCCTCCACCAACTTTCTAAAACTCTACCCCCTCTCAGTCTTTCTCTAATCCCTCCTCCTGATTATTTCCCTCCTCTCAAGAGAGGATTTGGGCTGTTTAATGGGTTGCAACAAACAGAAAAAGACTGAGCTTAGCTGCATAGGAATACAGACGACTAACTGAGATTCCTGGCCTGTTTTTTTACCTCCTCCTCTGGACTCCTATGGTTGAATAAAAGTTTCATAAGGGTTACATTGCACTGTGCAGATTTACAAGTGAAAAATAACTATGGTATATTCAGCAATTTTCCTTAACTTCTCTTGAAAACTTAAAGTAGCTCAAGCACACTTGTTTTTGAGACGGGAACAAAACAGAGCTATAAGAGAAATTAGAGAGAGGTAGTCAAGTAATAAAATCTTTATCATCCACACGTACAATTAAAAAAATACAAATCGAGTGAAGCAAGGCTTAAAATATTCTCAATTCAATAGATCTTTAAAAACCCTGAATCATTCACTGCTCATCTTACAGAACATAAACCTATCAAGCAAAACTATTATTTTATGAGTTGTAACAATAAAGAATACATTATTCTTCACTGAAACTGGGAATTTTTAAGTAGGTGTCCCACATGTGTCTTTCTCCCTAAACCAAATCTCCTTTGAGGAATGTTTATGTTGCTGATGGAAAACCTGACAAGAGCACAACTGGTATTACTCTCCTTTAGTTGAAAAAACAACAACACTGTTGTCTTTAGCAAGCATATGATAAAAAAAATAGAATACAAGTATTTGTGTAAAGTGAAACTGAGAAGTGAATAAATAACGCCTCAAACGTATAAAGATTGTGTCATGTGTCTCCATCTGGTGGCTTAAAGAGGCTACTGCTTTCAAAAGATTTCTGAATCGAGTTTCTCTACCAAACATGACAACACTTTCCATGGAGTGTAGCATTGTTTATTACATCACAGTTTTATGTAATAAAAGTCATATGGTCTTCTTGTTTGAAGACCATATGACTGAACAGAGAACAAACATATTGTTACTGAACATAACGCAGTTCAAGAAAGAATTTTAACAAACATGATTTACAGCCGACTGAGAAAAGATATATACACGTGAAATCAGGTCGGTATTCTAAATCTAGTGTTTGGTAGAAATAGGTCAATCATCTTAGAAGATCAGTGTCACCCACAAACAAGATCTGATTCTAATTATACATTTTTAATGCACGCTTGACTTGGGAACACAAGATCTGCGTAACCCAATTCCATTTAAAACCCTGCGCCAGCAACAAGAATCCAAATTATTACCAATTGACTGCAGAGAGGCAAAAATGACAGAAGGCAGCTCAAAACACCAGACCTTAATGCAGTTCTGCCATCTGGTTTTTTTCATACCTGTTCTGTTCACAAACTTTACGATCACTGGCCGCATACACCACCAGCATCCGACATTTAGCTAACAGTTCGAAGCTGATAGCTAAATGACTTTCGAAGCTTCATTCGAATGTCATTCGATGTCCTAAACTTGCATCAGGTTTACATTAACTTTGACAATCAGGGAACAAAATATAGGATGAATTTCCATTTCTAATTGTAGAATTGGCTTTATTTTTGTGTTTTTTTTTTCTTTTACTACTCTTTACATTTAATATTTAGGTCCAGCAGTTTTGTTCCCAAGCGAGGCTCCCCCAGTTAGTTGATTAAAGCAACCTTTTACAAATCATGAATGTTTTAGACAGATTTAGTCAGAAGTTTGCTTTGGATAAATGGTTCTAACATTTAGCTGATCAGTCAGTGCCAGCCTCTCTCAAAAATACTTTACACAAGAACTCATAGCTTTTTATATTACACGGTTTAAATGGACAAGCATTTCAAAAATTAAAACAGAGGAGAAAAAAAAAACGCACAAAACCAAAAGTGAACTAAAGAGCCTCCAAGGTGGGCTGTTGAAGTCCAAACAGTGGTTTGGAGGATCTGAGTTGACCCATCCATCACCCACTTGACCCATTTGTGATCATATATTCAAATGTCCGTTATGATCAGTGGAAATGCAGGTACAACCCTCCCAACACGTTGGCACCATTTATGTGTACCGGGGTAACAAAGGCAACTGGGTCACAGCTTCTGGATGACCACCTGAAACTTACCTGGGAGAACAAGAGGCAAAAAAAAAAAGGGAACCATTATTATAACCTACACAAAAGTAAAGTAACAAAATTGGACAGCACAGTTAATGAGATGTTCTGGGCTTAAGGATCAGTCATTTATCCTGTAGCAGTAGTTATTTCTTTATTCAATGAGACACACACTCAAACTCTAGTGGTCTCATTGAACACTCTTGTGTTTATCCTGGTTATGTAGGTTGCAAATTCTGAGTCTTATCAGTCCGGCCTGTTAAAGTAGCTACTTTAACAGCAACTTAAAAGTCTCCATTGAGACTTTTTAGGGGACAATGGCTGTTGTTCCAAAATGCACTAGTTGATTTTAGTAAACCATCAGACATGGTTGATCTTAAGGTTTCACTGAACAGGATGCACATTCTGGCTATTAGGACTGTACTATAAATATCAAATATGTTGCAATATTCATATCACAAAGTACTGTTTGGACTGCAGTAATAGTTTTCAAGTGTTATGAAACTGTGTTTTCACACTAAGGTAATCACACTGCTGCTGTTAAAGTCTTTCAGCAGCAGAGTCTCACACTGGACATTAATGACGTCCAAAATGCTGAAGGTCACAGACTGATGGAAGCACAAATGAGAAGGAGAGAAAAGAGGAAAATGGGGATATGGCAACTGATATTTTCATCATAATATTTACCAATACTATCACTAGTGCACAATTTTCTAACATTGTGAAGCCCTTGCAGACAAAAAACATACTTATAATATTCACAAAAAGAGATAAAATCAGTTCAAGTTCTATTCAAGTCATCTGTTAAAAAAAAAAAAAAAAATACCTTTTTTTTTTTGTTCAAATTGCAGTTAGAGCAAAAAACCATAGTCCTGCACATAGGAATAGAAGTCATGTATTGGACACTTACATGACGGCATGATGGAGACCTCAGCTGTCACCACACTCTCCAGCCCGAGGTTAGACAGAGCTCCTCTCACCACACCGCAAGAAAAAGCAAGATACTGGGAAAAAGGATGGATCGATCAGCTACAGCTTAGCTAAAACAAACTGACTTTCTAAGCTGCGTGTCATAATCATTTTATCTACTTTTTTATGCTAGATTTAAAATTAACAGCAGTGCACATCTATTTGAGTGCACTAGGTGACAATTGTGTACCTTGGGGGCCTGATCCAGATACTGTTTCCCACTGGAAAACTGAGTCAGTAAAGAAAACTTGTTGTCCTGTAGAACATAAGTCCCCTGTGGTGCAAAATACATGGTTAGACTGTGCTACATTTTATTCCGGACATTTGCTAATGCTCTTCTGAAACACCCACATTTTTAGAATTGTTACCATTTCCCTTAGTAGTTTTTTTAAAACCTCTTTTAAAAGAAGAACTTTACAGGCTTTTGGTTTTAGTTCAAATGCTGTTTGTCATTTATAGGAACCTTGGACAGAATTGGAGGCTTTGCCTTAAAGTTGTGTCTATTTTCCAATCTTAGTACAGAATATTATGTCTGCCGAAAATACATGAAAATACATACGTCTAATTAAGTCAGAATGTCATCAAAAATTTAGGCATTAATTTCTGTAAGTTAATATTACAAAGCAGTGTCTTGTTTGACACTGTCTTCAGCACAATAAATCAAATGAAATTTAATCACTGTGAACCAGATTCTCTGTGAACCAGATTTTTTCAACAATATTTTACCTGATGGTTTGTTCGGAGGTTATCCACTTGTCTCCTAAACACCTTAGTCCAGAAGTCTTTGCAAATAAACTTCATAATATCCAGCTCATCCTTAAAGCTGGGGGTGTCCCGTGTCAGTCTGCAAGCAAACATCAAATCATATACATATTAGAAGGGAGATCAGTGGTCGGATATGCATCCACTGTTAAACATCCCTGGTTATGAACATCACCTACCTCTCAATGAGACCTTGTCCCACCCTGAAACCCATCGCTTCTAAGAGAGAAATACATGCCGCTCTGTCCTTGGGTGCAATAATATATAGACATACAAGGGGATTGGTTAAAAAAAATGCAACAAATTATCTTGTAACGTAGTATTGTAAATGCTAAACTTGTGCTACATAGAATTAAGAGAGGAGAGAGAACACAGACTAAGCAATTACCGACTAAGAATTAGTATCCAACATGCCCAAAAGTCATTTAAGTATCATATTTTTTTGTATTTTGCTAACTTTGCAGCTTTGACTTTTATCTAACAGTTTTTATTTTCGTATATATTAATGGATCGGGGAAATGCAGTTGCTTACAAGCTTTTTTTTATGTCAGAAAAACAATTTGATTCAAGTTTATAAATGAACAGACCTTGTTGTCCAGCTCTCCTTTTCTCGACTGCTGCTCGTTGAAAATGTGCGAAACAATCTCCATATGGAGAAACTCAAACAAGGAGTCGTCTGCCATTCTGTAAAAAGACTCAAAATGAACATAAAACTCTATGAAAGGAAGGGACATTAAGAAAATCAGCTGTAAACATTAAAATCCTGTTCCTCTCTTTAGCATTAGCTAGCTAGATTTGATTAGCAGCCGGTGATTAAATATTTCTAAGCATAACAGAATGGGCTATACGAAAACGGAGTAGAGGAAAAAAAAAACAATAGAAGGATCACTTATAGAAATTAACCACCAAAAATATCGCATTAGATTCAAGTTTTCACTACATTAGCTTACTTGTCAAACCTCCCGTACTCTGCTAGCCTACTTCTGCTTCTCAGGTTGCACTCGATATATCCACCAGGACACCCCGTAAAAAGTATGCAGGCGAAGTTAAAGGTACTTTAATTAATTTATATGGATTATCAACAGGAGAAGAACCCTGTTTGTGCTACTAAAGACAAGGTAAGTAATGAAAATAATCTAGTGATTGAACAGCCTCCCTGATACCAGATAAACAGCAGGTTCACATCTAGATTTAGCTTCCGAGTACGCCGGCGTAATGCACAAACCTCTGTAACATACCAGGGAACCAATCAAAATACAAAGCGTATTTTTCATGCGCTTCCTGGATCCGATTTGATTGGATCTTAGAAAGCAAGCTACTTCCTCGCTCATGTGATTTGTTTTCGACAGAAAAGGTTGGACATTTTCTGCATTTGATTCCGCTCATACATCCATTGTATAATGCAAGCGCCGATTCTTTATATTTACAATGTAGTGACAATTTCAAACTGAGTGCTTTCGCTGCCCATCCAATGTTGTTTTGTTGCGTTTCCAGCCATGTCCAGCAGCAAATACCCGATAGTGGTGCAGGGGGAAGCGTCTGAAACGGACTCCGATGATGAAGTCTACATCACTTCTCTGACTTCTCACCAAACTACCGCAGGAGGAGCCAAGGTTAGCTAATAGAAATACAAATAAACTTTGAGCATTTGAGCTCTGTTTTTCTTAATGCGTTTTTGGATGCTGTCAGGTTCCTGGGGAAGCCTCGGAGACGGACAGTGAAGATGATCCGCAGCAGGCGGTCAGATCCTCTGTAATGGCTCAGGAGAGTGCTCAGATACTCAAGAGAGAGCTGCCCCCTCTTATTGTGGTCAGAGACAATCCCAATGTGCAGTCCATAGTAGAAGACAGGCCGAGCCCTTCACACAAGCCTTATGGTGAGGACACATGTTTGCACAGAGGTAACAACATAAAATCACCAACCTAATCCCTGTTTTGGTACTGGTTGAATGTGAACAGTGTTATGAAAACCTGCCATTGTGAAATAATGTATTGATGTTAAGCTTTGTGCATCTCTGTGCTTCATCTGATGTTTTAAACACCATTTTCATCCTGAAAGAAGGTAATTTTGAGTCTTTTTCCCCTCAATAACATCGATATTGCTATGAGTGGTGTTATTGTTAGAATAACCTAGCAGTTCTTTTAGCATGGTGCTTTCAGTAATGGGAATTTCCAGTTAATCTCAGATTAGGGTCACTCAAATTTAAAATTGTCCAATTCAGGTCACCAATGAAATTCTCAGGGCATCTCCAACTCCAGCATTTGAAATGCCTGACTACATTTGTAATAGTCATATTTCATAGAACTTTATTTCTGACAAATAACAGTGAAACTAAAGATCCATTACTGGCTTTACATATTTTTATGTTTTCAACCTAACCATATCACACAAACTTAGAAGGACATTATCCACTAAAGTTTCTTGTTTGGTTGTTTTTATCTATTTAGGTAGCTGTCAAGTCTGAGTCCGTGCTCTGTTTATAATTCTGTTAGCAGGAGATACCCTTCTGCAGCAGAAGCTGCAGGAGTCCAACAGCCGGCTGTATACGGATGTGGGGCAGAGGGTCCGACAGGTTTACGGCAGTGCCAGTAAGGAGGTATGCTGTGTTTCAACTTGAACCAATAATTTGTCAATGCATGACTTAATAGTTATCTAAAGTCTTTCTTCTCTACTGCATCTCTTCTGGCATGATCTGTCATCTAATTTACATGAAACAATTCCACACAAAAGTCAAAATTATTCATACCCCTGGCAGTTTCAGATGTACAATATATTTTATTTAGCTTGTTCTTGATAGGAAATGTGACGGGCATCTCTCAAAAGATAAGAAAGCAAAATAAGATGAATATGTATAAGAAAAATAAATAAATGTTCACTTTACATGTAAAAATTGCATATCAAAAAGTATCACTGCAATAATTATTGGAAAAATCTATTTTGGCATTATAACATTCAAATCATTCTTATATTTGCTGACCAGCTTTTTCTGCTTCCAACAGTATTTTAATGAATGTTCTTTAGTGATGAACTCTTAACAGTCTTTGAGGTTGGAAGGCCTCTTTGCCATCACCCTAATCTTTAGCTGAGATCAGATTCAAGTCGGTACCCAAACTGGGCCACTCCAAAAACATGAATATTTCTTTCAATTAGAAAAATCATGCTGGTCAAAATAAAAGATTACTTCTAACGAAATTCTCCCAGAGATAGGAACTATTTTGTGTTTAATAAAGTAAAAGTTCTGACATGCAAATGCAGACATGCACGTTAGAGCTGACAGAATTTCTTTGTGCAATCTGTTGCATGCACTTAAATGGTGGGCAGTAAAATATTGTGTAATTATGTGGCTACCAGGTCCAACCAGGTTTGATCTCTACTGGAATCAAATCCATACAGTAAGACGCATCTTCTCGGTTTATTGGTTAACTTTGTGTTTGTAAATTAGGTCCTCAGTGTGACATCTCAGCTGAATTCGTCCCAGAGCGCCATCATCAACGCTTCCCACAGTATCAGATTAATCCTGGACGATCTGAAGGCCGTGTCCGAGAAGATCGACATTATCACCAGCTGCCAAATACTGCCTGATATTAACATCAACCCTGGTTATTTAACTTCACCTACACCCTAATAAATGCTTTGCAACGGACTGAAATTATGACATATCTTTAAATAGCATCATACACACATGTACATTTAGTAATTTCAGAGTAAGACACAAAGATGAACAGTATGTTGTTTTACTTAAGTGGATGCAAATTTTCCCTACATATAAAAGTAAAAAGTGTTTGTAAGTTGCCTTTTGTTGTATTTAATTGACAGTGACTGTATGTAGCTTTCTGTTAATAGAAATTTAACCGAATATGTTTTTTTTTTCTTCCTTTAAAGAAAAAAGAAATATCTACTTTTTTAAAGAATAAATTGTATATTTAAAACCTGAATGATTATAAATAAAATGTTAGTCTCTGATTTCCATGGATGCTGTCTAGGTTTTCGATTTCTTTTTGTTTGTGGGTTGAATGTATCATATATTGTTTTTCAGAAGGGACTTCTAGGATAGATGAACATAGTTGCTTAAAAGAATATAAGCTAAAAATCAAACAAAATTGATAACATCATAATGCAAAACTTCAGTAAATGACCAAGAAACATTCACATAAGGAGACATTAAAATAAAATGATTTGCAGTTCAAATTAATAATTTTGTAGGGGAAAAAAAAGTGTGCTGTTGCAAATGCTTTTACATTATTAAATATCACCACAGTACAATGTCATGTTTATGACTTCTGAATCTTCACAATTCACTAAATACACATCAAATATATTTTAAACGGATGTTTAAATAAGACACAGTAGATTAAAATGACCAGTCACAATTACAAACATCTGCCGAACAACTTACTAATACAAGAAAATGTACTGCAAGCCATCAGTAGATCTATTTATGTAAGCATCCCCTCATACTCTTTAAACAGGGGTATAGATATACACCAACACCACCACCAGCAGGTTGAGAACGGTGCCTACAATACCCACAATGCCAAGTAAATGATCAGGGTCAACTCTGCACCTCTCCATTTTTTGGCGCAGACTCTGAGCATCAGCTGCCTGAAATAGAAAGTAGAACATAGATGCACATTTTAAATGTCTTGTAGAATTGATGGCCCCATGTAAATAGCTTAAGTCCTCCATACCCCTTTTTTTCTGAGAGTCATTTTCTTAATCTCTTCTTCAAACTGTGAAGAAGGTATTTGTTATTATTGGTAAAGAACAACTGGGTAAAAATATAAGCAGTGATGCATGATATCCACTTTAATGGATATATGATTAACTGGAATTTCCAGCTCATGAAAAATCAATTACAGCAATGTATTGGGATTTCTGGTTCGACATGGGATGGAAGTTTATTATGCACTTACACTAGTTATCCAGCAGATGGTAGTGTGTAGCGTTTCATACCGGAGACCACAGAAATGGCTCTGTACAAGTAAACCATTCACATTCACACGAACAAGAAAAAGGTTTTGATTGTAGTGACCTCTAAGAAAACTTTATCCCTCTTTCTCCTCCTCCCACATATATTTTTCTGATACAAACCATATCTTCTATTTACAGTGATCCACAGCTGATCTTTGGAGACTTTGTTACAGGAATGACACAATTTGTGCTTATGTATTTTTTTTAATTGAAAGAAAAATTTGGAAAACACAGCTTAGGTAAAATATTTAGTAATTTAGCAAAAATATGGTGATTTTCTACATACACTGAAAATCACAAAGTCTTGTGTCAGTTTTTTTTATTTTTATTTTTTTATAATTTGTTAAAGGAACAACTTTTAGATAGAGCTCACTTGCTTTAGATAGCTGTTTAGACCAAACCTCTCTGGTTGTATTTGTCGACTTTCCTCTTCTTTTCAGTCAATCTGCATTATAATCTAGGCTGTCTTATTTAGGTAGATGGGCTGTAAAATAATAAAAAAAATAAAATAAAATAAAAAAAAACTAAAGTCCCCAAAATATTTTGAAGTTTATATGCACAACAAATCTGGAACAAACTTCCAGAAAACTGCAAAAATGCCTTGTTACTGAAAGGTGCTATACAAATACAATTTTATTTATTGAAAAACGTTTACAAAACCTGGAGAACAACCAATTCAGACTACTTAAAAAAAGCACAAGAAATCCTATTACTTGGGGAAATAAAAGAATAAATAATTTAATTTAGCATTTTTCTGGCCAATTAAATTATTTGAAACCTTAGATTTTAAATAATGTACCTCAGTTCTAGTACTTTATCTGAAAACTATCCATGTTAAATGTAACATTCTGAGTTTACCTCAGTAGTGTTCCTTCGTCGTCTGTCTTCTCTCGGCACCGCTGTGGGCTCCATGTCTCTGCCTGGAAACCTTTTCAAATTGAAAGCAGTAGAAAGCAAGACTTCGGCAACTCCCAATAAAGAAAACGGTCTGATTGTTTATGCAGATTATGAAGAGCAAGAGCGAGCGCCGCTTTCGTAGCTGTTGGAGTTTAATTCTTGCGTTTTCTCTACCCCAGGCTGAAGAGGCTCACAGGTCTGTGATAAATGAGGGTTATGAAGGGATGCAGGTCGGACTTATTGTGCAGCTAACTGCACAGAGTGCCGCTCGGTGCAAAGGGACTTCTCAGCTGTCCTCCAACAGCTTTGGCATAAAGTCACATTAAAGTTGGCTCATAAGTGCCTGTGTGCATCTTGTCCAGTGGGAGTGTTGCAGAAGAGGATCAAAAGGCCTCCAGTGTCTCAGGGACTCTTCTGGATGTGTGTACATATGTTTAATTACTGCTAAAGAATGAGATGAGCCAAGATTATTTTATGTCAATAAGACTTCTTGAGTCACTACTTTGTAAAGCTACTGTCTCTATCTCTGCCAGCGTTCCATGTCTAGAGAAAGAGAAGTTAGCAGATTTTTCCTCCCGAAATAGTTTGAGTTCAGTCAGATTGGTTGGAGAGCTTTTCTGAATATTAGTTTTTCAATAAGAATCCACATAAATACAACAAGACATACAGGATTCAAAAGCAACCATCCATTTTAAAATAAAGCTTACAGGGAAATAAGCATTTCTTGCATCATGTTTTTTTTTAAATCTCCCTCAGATGTGTGTGTTAATGTGTGTGTGTAGCTATCCATCAGTCCCAGCTGTGCTGAGCGAGCATCAGGCTTTAAGGGCTTTTTAAGAGAGTAAGAAAAAAAGATCAAAAGAGCAAGTTTAAGTCAATAACAGAGAAAAATAACATACTGCAGGTTCTTGACTCAATAGATGCTAAACACGTGACTCTTATCTGAAATGTAGATTTAATTGAAACCCGCAGAGGTAAATAACAAATGCTTTTTAATCTCCGTGCAAACTAAAATCCACCTTCTAAATTCAAATCTACAAACAAATCTTTGCAGTTTTAATCTGATCAATTAAAATAAGTGCTTAAAATAACTAAATAAAGTGAAATAATTTAGTTTCTCAAATTCTACAACAGCTTATTTCAAGCAGAGAATATGCAAAAACAGAGAACTTTTTTCCCCCCTGTAAACACAGAAACATAATCGGACTGTGTTCCTCCTCAAATCTTTTCGGAGTGCCTGGACACTGAAAACAACATAATTGCTTTTTTGACTGTAAGCCATTTTTTTAATTCAGTAATCCAAAAGTTGCAGTTTAATTGCTATACAGCATGCACTTCATTCATTGCCACTGCTGGGAAAGTTGTGTGAGAAACATTAATATAAATTAATCTTTTATTAAAGTAGCATACTCTCATACTGAAAAGAAATTACTTTCACTCTCCACCAATGAGCTTTAGAGATTTGCTTTTACTTCCCTTGCAAACGCCTCACTGTGTGTTGTGTCGAGACTAATGTGGGACTTCGTCCGTCCACGTTTGCTCCAGTTTTTTAAAACTCTTTAATTATTGCTCTGACTGCAGATATGGGAAAGTTTAGGCAGTTTTCTCGCAGCCATTTCCTTACTTGTCAAGATCACGATTCCTGCACCTTGCTTGATGAGCGGCTAAGAAAAATGAGCCTCTGTGTCGCAGCATATTTACATTTCAAAGAAAAACAAAATCATAGTATTTAATGTTCACTGACTCTCTGATTAGAGTTGGGATATTCTTCACTTGTCCCCGTATTTATTGAACCTGTTTAACCACCAGGTTGCAGAGTCTGGCTACCGTTTCTTTTTTCAGATGAACACACAAACTCCTTTCCTTGTCCTTTGAGAGTGACAGAGAACAGGCAGGAACAGGCCTGGTTTCTGCTTCAATCATATCTCATCCTCATAATAACCAAGTCAGCATCACTGCTGAACATTGCATTTATGTTTTAAATCAGGCAATTGTGTTTCATTAGTCAGTTCTTTATTATTTAGATGTAAGTTAAGTGTAAACTACTCCAGCAGAAAGTTCAGTCTTCTCAAAGTTAGAAATGTGAACAAAGAAAGTGTTGGTTTGTTGCTTTAGGGCTGGCTGCACTTCCGGGGTATAAGTAGGACATAATATCTTACCGTTCATATAAAACATCTTCTCTTGTTCTGTTGACAGTGGCTTTAGGCTCACATATAAGGGATGGGGTTCATGCTTGAAATGGCAATCTAACCAAAGTCTAAAATAGTAACAGAGCAAACAATTCACCAGGGCACAGAGGAGGGACCATAAATGTTTGCGGTACGTAGCGGAGGCCAGCGCTGAGCAGACAGGGAGGAACACTAGGTTGTCAAATCAGACTGGATTATGAACTTTAGCAGGATTCAGGTCCTTTCTTAATAGCCTACTATGATGCGTAAAGGTCTGTGTGCGTTTGTGGTGCTCAGAGGGCAGCCTCCATATTAGCCAGGTCAGCGGGTCTCTCATGGGGAGCCGTGGGACACACTGTTAGTTTATATGGCTCGCTGAACATGGCTGCACACAACAAATCAGGTTTGCCAAAGCAACTGCTTGAAGCTAAGCCTCCACTTTGGGTGATAATCTTGTTTTCTGCTGTATTCGGGACAGCTTTGGTAAAACAAGGGATTAACAAACCAGAGGAGCAAGGAAGCAGGGATCAACCCGGATGAGTTAAGGGAACATTTAAAAAAAAAAAAATCAAAACAACAATGACGGATTTTTGGTGTTTGTTGACATCCCTTCTGCTTTAACCCAGCATCTCTTGCAACATATCTGTCACGTCAGTTTCTTGCTTTTAAACAGCTAAACATGTAAAATGGCCCATCATATTTTCTCTGACTGAGCAGCTGTGCAGCCTGCAGGGCTGTGCGGCGTATGTAAAGAGGTGTGGAGACCGCTCCTCTACACCTTTTTACATACACCACTGCTGCTCTATCTAATAATCTAGTTTGCTAGCACATATTCTGTGACGGACTATATTTCAAAGAAAAAAGGAGCTTTGCTTTGACAATCCAAGCGATGAAATGCCTCTGCACGGCTCCCCAGCAGAGAAAATAATCGGTTTCAGTCCTCTCTCCCTCAAGGAGACTCAAAATTCATCTCATGTTGGAAACGTTCAGCTGGTGGCCCTGGACGGTACCACCGTTATATCAAATAAAGATCAGACACACTGATATAGTTTTAATTCCAGTGTGTCCATTTTACATGGGTTAAAGTTCCTTATCAATGTGCCAGTATTATTTGTAAAAGTAAAAAAAAAAAAAAAAACTATTGTAAATGCAAAATAAAAGGCAAACTTAATAAAAACAACAACAACAAAAAAACAGAACCTTTAACAATGAATGTGAACTATAAAAACAAGATTGCTTTGAATGAAGTTTTGGCACAGTTATATTGAGAAAAGAAACCAATAAAAACAAAGAAAAATGATGATTGTAAAAGCTTGGCAGCTCCAAACAGGAAAAATGACCCTCCTTTTGGTTTAACCTTTTGGTTAGTTGGTTTAAGCAGCCAAACGTCTGCCTTCAGTTTTGGTTTGGGTTCCTCTTTCTACTGGCAGTCCTCTGTTTCATTCCACTCATCTCTGTTTTTTTTTTTGTTTTGTTTTTTTGCTTTAGAGACTCTCTATTTTCATATTTTGGAAATTTATTGTTAAAAAAAGCAGCAGTGACTTTTGATTTGGCTCCATGCCCAGGGCTGCCTGGCCACAAGCACACGGTGATGGTTTTCTAGTAATCATTTACATATTTTATATTGATTAGACGACTGCCTTGCTTCCGCTTTGTTGTGGTACTGCTAACAGACTGAGTATGTAATTGTAAGAAAACTTCCATACTGGACTTATTACCAGTCATGGTGCCTTCCTGCAAGTCGCTGAGCTCCTAAGAATGTCCCATTCTGTCAGAAGTCGGGCAGCAGCAGTCTGTATGCTCAGTAGTTGGATTTTAAAAAATACAAAAACTAACAAAATGTTATTTTCCGTAAAACGCTTTGTATAATTTGCATAGTAAAACATTAACGTTTGTTGTGCGTTGATCAAGGGGCACAGGAGAACTTCGAGAGAGATCAAAAACAGCCGTGGGGAGGGCTCAGTGCTTACAGATTAAAACATAGCTGTGGGGGGTGTCATTGTTTTCGTAAATGGATTCAGTGCTCTTTCTTCACATTTGTCACAGCAATCTCTGTATCCCCACAGATCACTTCACAGCTTTACAGAGCTCACAGTTGGGGTTCTTTGTGCAGGGTTTTTCTACACAGACATGGAGATGATCTAGGTTTTGATCTAAACCTCCCAGAGATGAAAGAGTTAATGCCATAAGTGATGAAACTGTTTTTTTTATTGTGGCACATGTCATACTGTGTGAGTGTGGGAGGAAGAGATGCACGACTGCAGTCTCCAGAGGAAACATTGGAGGGCCTGAAGGTGTTTATGTCTGCAGCTTGCTTGTGATAGAATGGAGGAAACCAAAGGCCATGCCACAGGAACGTGCTGACGAGTTGTTACAGAGTTTAATTATCTTAAAACGAATTAAACTGGTCTCAGTTTCAACTTGAAGTTGAAACAGAGACATATCTAAAACCTGCAGGACACGGGCGCCCGATGCCTGGATCGGGGGCCTCGGTTTAGACTCCAATACTCAAATTACAACAAAGTCCAAATCCAGTCCTACCTCTTTGAGATGTAAGCTCAAATTAAGTCTCCCATGGAAAATGAGGACATGCAAACCCCGTTCAGAAAGACCCCAGGTCAGGATTCAAACCTGGCACTTAATATTGTCAACTTCTTTAAAAAAAATACAACACTAAATAGGATTTGGAGGGTTTTCTTCTATTCATTCTAAGAGAACATGATGCTGGAGGCAAGCCAAGTTTATTTTGTTCTGACCAAACAACCTGAAGTCATTTAACGTTAAACAGACCATATGATTTTCAATTGCGAATAAATAAAGCGTACCCTTTCGCAGAAGAAAATGCATGTTAAGCCTGTCAGAGCTGAAGTCTCTAGCTGTCGTACAGGAGAGCAACCTTCTCGGGCCGCATCGCTGAGAAAGTTGAGGTCCTTTCTCAGAGGACAGCAACTTAGAAAGCCCGGTCTGCCACACACCAGACTTCAATAAGTGGGTGATTAATAGGCTTCTGTAGCACTTGATGGCACAATGGCAGAGGAGGTCATTCAGTCATTTGAATCAGGGGTTCTGGAACAGAGACACATCTAAAACATGCAGCGTAGTTTTTCTTGAGGACCGGACTTGGCTCTCAGCCAAGACTCTAGAGCAGTTGTTCTTAACCTTTTTTGAAGTACCGAACCCACCAGTTTCATATGCGCATTCACTGAACCCTTCTGTAGAGATAAATAAAATATGATTATTTTCCCCCCAAAATTCAAGACATTGGGGTGACCCAACTAGAGTCTAGTTTGGTCACCCCATGATCACTAAGTCTTCTTAAAAGGTGGAGTCTCAGAGAACAGTTCTTCAAAATATAGTCAGTGTTTTCAGCAAAGCTGAGCCGACTGTCCAGGAACGACCCAAGGTATTTAAAATTTGCCACAGTTTCAACAGGTTGGCCATCGAGAGAAACTGGAACCACTTTAAGGTCTTATTTAGATCATTTAATTAGCTCTACATTCTTAAGAGAATGAAAAATTAATAATAAATAATAAAGACTTTGTGGTATTCTGATTTAGTAATGCAATTATATTAGTTGTGTTACCACCCCCACGCCACTAGAGGCAGTACCAACCCCGAAAAGATGTGACTAAGTAGCAGATTTAGAAGTACAGCGAAAGCTACAGAATTTGGTAAAAACGGTGAGTTTTGCTGAAGTAATTAAAGACACAAGTTAAAATTCACGCTGAGAGTGGAGCTCCTTCAATCAGTGCTCCTCCGCAGCTCTGATTGGCGAAGCAATGTAACGTGATCCTCTTCAGCAAAGCGGGGCGTCAAAACGACTTTACACAAGTGTGTTTTTACCTCTGCGGCAGAGACTCCGCCGAACCACTGAGACCGACTCATCGAACCCCTGGGGTTCGACCGAACCCAGGTTAAGAACCACAGCTCTAGAGTGAGTCAAGTCTTAAGTCTTTGGTTTTGCAACACAACTCCAACTCTTAAACCAAAGTCCATTTCTCTGCCACTTCCCAAACAGCGTAACACCGATTAGTAGCAAAGAATCAATTAACTTCCATAAGTTGTCTCGAGTCCATCTGTGGGTGGAGTGAAATAACAACAACGCCAACAGGCCTAAAACGACAACTTACATGTAAGTGTAAAAAGTAGCTCAAAAGGTTGACATCCTATTAGATTTGAAAAGGTTTCAGTGTCTCTGAGCACCAAATACATGGTGCATCATTCATCATTCTCGTTGTCACAATAGCTGAATGTTGTCAGAGAAATAGCCAATAACAAAATGAAATGATAATAAATTAGGTGTATTGAAACAGGCTGTTTTGACAGAATAATTTTTTTTATTTTTATGGACATTTCTGTAACTATACATGTACATATTTACACCTTTACATACGAAAGTACATCAAATCTCAAAACATTTGTTCTTTGTCAGCTTAGTGAAAAATGTTGTCAAGTCATCTGATAAATTCTCCTTTTTGCTGATAAATTAGTTTTTTATCACTTGCTCACGAAAGCAAACGTGAACAACCGGGTAGTTATTGCAGACATCTTTCATCTTTGTTTTACCAGAAAAACACTTTAAAAATCGGATTATTATATAAAACTTTGGCAAATGGATAATATTATCTACTTCTCTCTCTTTTTTTTTTTGCCCATTTCTGATAAACTAATAAAATAGTTTGCATTTAAATGAAAAATGACAAGATGACAAAACTTGTCATGCATATCAAGGCTTTTCCTCTGGGTGGAGATGTGAGGCTGAATGCAGAAAATAGTATTCACTTTAAAAAGGAATCTGTTATGGCCAAATTTTCCCCACCAGGCACTTGTTTTTGCCAGATTTCAACATTAATGAATATTATACAACTTGGTTGTCTGAATTCGCTCATGCAGTCAGTGTCAAAATGTTTTGAAAATGAAAATCACGTCGTGCATCAAGAGAAGGCTTTGCTAAGTTTGGTTACATCCTTTTTACTTTTAGACTTCTTTCTAGGTTTTCCCATAAAATTCAGGTACATAAGAAAAAGGTTTCATGCATAGTAAAAAATAAAAAAAGTAGTGACAAGTGAGGATTTCAGTTGGTAAAAAAAGAAACCCATGCTGTGTGTGTGTGTGTGTGTGTGTGTGTGTGCATGCACATGGTGTCTGTCTATTTGGGCAGCAGATGGTCAGGATTCGCCCTCAGGGCTCTCTCCTCTTATTGGTCCACAGAGCACACACTGAAACTGGTCCCGAGGGGAAACTTGAACTGCATTTTGATACAGCTTGGATGCAGCCATGATAATAGATCAGCTTTTAAAAGTGATCAATATGCAGATATGTATGCAATATTAGTCAGCACGATAAGGTGCAACGATTCCTTTTTTGCTACGTCATTTTTTTAGAGTGGAGTGCTTCACTTTGTTAGATACTGTATGTCAGTTTTATGCTGAATTTTCCATCTCTTTTGATAATTCAAGTACTGAAAGTTCAAAGTGCTGAAGGTGAAGCATCAGTATTGATATAAAAATTAAGTAGACGTTTTTTAAGTCTACTGGAAGATCCTTTTTAAGTAGGTAAATTAGTTACTATTGCTTTCTGCTAATTATTGGAAGCGTAAATGTTTTTGAGCGTTGTTGTTCCAAGTTTGTGTTGTCATTTAGAAAAGAAGAGCTTTATTGCAAAGTGATCTAAGAAGATGAACAGTTGATCAAAGTTATACTGATGGTCTAATCGATCTCTGAAACATTAGTGAGTAGTGGAGAACTTTTAGCTTATTTTTAAAGGCAGTATTTTGACCAAGCAAAACTGGTAATCTCAGTGTGAATCGGTTTAGCCACAGTTATCCTAGTATATTATACAAAAATGAAATCCATATTGTAAAGCAATCTCAACGTAAACATATCTATAGCTATCATTTCAAAGGACTGATTTCAAAGCATAATGATTTTTAGTTCCCTAATCAGCAGTTTATATCCACATCATCAGCATGAACGTTAAGCTCATTTTGTTGATTTTCCTGGAATATTATTTTGTGTTTGTTATTTCAAAAGGAAACCAAGGATTAACAGCTCAAGTCTGACTTTGGCGTCGACGTTCAATAATCCATATTGAGTTGAAATTATACATAGAAGTTTAAGTGTTTCTAAGTACATTCACAGTAATATTTGGATAAATGTCCATGAGTACGTTGCAGAGCAATAACATTTGTTTTTTTTTTTTGTATTCTGAAACAAACGTCTGGCATAATTTAGGTTATTTGAGCATTTAACTTTCAAAAAGAATTTGAATAAATTGTTTTCTTTGAACATAGTCCACAAACTGTTAACAGCGATCAAAACTGGGCACTTCAAAACGGTTAATGTTGGCAGGCTTTAACAATAAAGAATCTTTTGATTGTGCATTTGGGACTGTCATCCCGTGTCAGAGTTTCAATCATCTTTTTTGAAGAGTTGAGCTAAAATCAAAGAATGCATCAGTACCACTGTCAGCTACACCGACCCTACGAGGCTGTCATTTTGAAGCTTGAGAGGTGGTACATTGTTTTAGGGTTTGAAACTCTTTGATCATTCTACACCTTTAGTCTCTCAAGCTTTTCTCTAATAGGCCTCTGGCTCATCCATGTGGGCAGATGCAAATTGCTTTTATGCTTTAAGGCAGAGGTTCCCAAACTGTGGGGCGCGCCCCCTAGGGGGGGCGCCGTGTCATTGCAGGGGGGGCGCGGGAAGCCGTCTGGATGAAAAAAACAAAACAAAACATGAACACTGTATGCGCTGGGTTTTTACCTTAGAATGGCCAACTCTCTGTCAATTTGATACAGTAGAGGCTTCCACACTTCCCATATTTGTGTCCTCTGTCACTTTTATCATCAGTTAAAACTGTTTAATCCGTTGTTAACATGTTGTAACCTGTTTTTCCGAGCCGCCTTTAAACGCAACATGAGCGCTACGACGCTCGTGCTGGGTTTACACCTGTGAAGTAGACCTGCTGCTGCTGGGCGGAGCTACGTAGGTTTGTGTTAGAATCACGGCAGCAAACCAGCAAAACACAAAGAACTTTTCACTTTTCACAGTTTTTCCCTCCAAACTAACCGACTGAGTTGAGTAAAGCTGTTGGATGCAGGTAATGTTAGCTAAAAGATGACTAGCTAATATCAATACAGCACCTGTAGCTTAACAAGTAGCTTGTAGGCTACCGATGTTGGTGTCTATTTTCAGCTGCGTACATTCATTTTGGCCCCCCGTCACACGCGTCGTTTCAACCAGACAGCCATTTGTAATCCATAGAGGGGGCGCAGAAGAAAAAGTTTGGGAACCACTGCTTTAAGGTATTTTGCAGACGAGGCTTCTTTCTTGCTCAGCACTACATCTTAGATCATTACCACACTTCACTGTCTAGAGTTACTCGCATACTGTAGCGTTTTTCATGACTGGCTTGACCCTGGTTTGTTCCCGATTTCCTCATGAACACAGATTGACACGAACTCTGCCAGAGGCCACAGCCGGATGTTTTACTGAAGTATATTTATGAATTCAATCTAGTGCATGTGCACCCAAACTTTATTTTTAGAAATCACTGAAATTGCATGTAAGATTGGTTAAATAACTGCTCAAATAAAATCAGTGAAAGCCCTAAATTAATTGGGCATTCGTGCTGATTATTATGTAAAGATCTAACTGGATGATTTCAGGATTTTTAGGCATTGTTCACCCTTAAAAGCTTATGAGTGAAATGAAAAATTTAGTTTTTCTGACATTTATGTTTGTTACTCTGCTGCTGCAAATTTAACATTGAACAGAGCAGCAAACAGCAGTAAATGTACAAGTAATCAACCAACCACAAGTTCATAGAAGTAAATCCAAGTGAGGCAGAGGCAGTTTATCTATGAGGATCTTCCAGACTTTGAAATGTGGAAGAGATCTTTTGAAATTTATCTCTGAATATGAAAATTCAAATATGTAAAATAGATGCATCAGTTTTTTTTTTTTGGGGGGGGGGATAAAGTTAAATAACTAAATGTATATGTTCTAAACATTCACATGAATATCTGTAATGTTCTTTGTCTATGGTGTTCCCATTGAACCTTCAACACCTTATAAAAATATATTGTCACTTTCAGTCCAAACTTCGTTCAACGCTGCTGGTCTCTGGATTTGTAAACCAAAGAAACAAAGGGGAAACTGCAGAGAGACAGTACACTGCGTGACAACAATTTAACAGAATTACTCAAAAATCGTAACACTTTTCCACATGAGCCAACATGTTAAATTGCACATAGACACATGGGCAGTTGTTTTTTTTTTTTTTTTTATTGTATCTGTTTCCTTAACAACAGTTTGTAAAGCAGCAGCAGGAATGGATGAGTTTTTATGTCTTCTCAGGCGTTAGTTTGTTGGTGGAGAAAAGAACGACCAGGATGTGGTGCAGATTCAGCCCAGTCTGTGCTGCTCTCCTGTCAGCTGTGTTTGGGTCCACTTCAACATTAGATATGCGTTGCTTCAACCTAAACTCACATCTGTTTAGGTACGTCGCTCCAGCATAGTGAAACGGGTTCTTAACCCCCTCGTTGGTTTTGCAGCAGATAGTGGACTCCTTCACGAAGTTTTTATGTCCTCCTTTTGTCCGCCGCTCCTCTTCGACTTTGTTTGAGGTCAGCCATAACTGTCTGCTGTCTAAATCCAAGTGGCTTTGCCTCAGTTTCAGGGCCTGCTCTCTCCGATGCCGCTCCTCCATGTCTGGGTCTCTAATCCAATCAAATAAACGTGACAGCATAAAAATACCCGTCACTCTGTGACAGCCAACATTAGCAGAGTGATCTTCAATGATATGCAGGTTTTCTGCATGGATCAAATCACCAACAGAATTTTGTAACTTTTTATTTTTTTTTTCCTGATTTCAGTGTCAGTAAGCATGTAGAAGAAATAGAAAACTAGCGTTTATTTCAATTTTGGTCCAATTTTGTGAAAAAATATTTCACTGAGGCAATGCAAACATAGGTAGACAGTTTACTGACCACACATGAAGCTCTGGATCATAAAAATACAAACTGCAGAGAATAGGTCGACACTGTCGAGAAGTCCAAACAAAGAAAGTGTCTCCCTGCTAAAACTCTCTATATCATTGCTTTTTCATTAAAATAACCAACACTTTCATATTAGCTCAATTCCACATAAAATTCACCTGATATTACTTATGAACCAAGCTAATTTTTTATATATTTTTTAAAATTTACAATTGTGGTTGCAATATGAAAATTTGAATGATCTGAAGATGTGCAAGTAATCTCAAAAGCCACCATAAGAAGAAGACGAATTGAAATACATATTTACAAGGCTCCATCAAATGGAGGTGTAAATATACACAAAGATAAGCAGTAGCAGGTTTAAGACAATCCCAATGACTCCCAGCACAGCCAGGAATCTCTCCTCAGGTGTGCTCAGGTGCGGACACGTCAGTTCCATGTAAAACTAAATTCTTGAACTCCACAAAATGAAAAGGAATGGATATTCTTATAGGAATGGCTATACTTTCTTAAATTACACAAATGTACAGTTTGAGGAGATGTTTAGGTGCCATTTGACTCAAAGCGTTCTGCTACTGGTTTAGTTTTTGACAGTTTGGTGTCAAAAAAAGTAATGGCGCTATCTTCTAATTTTCTCCAGTTAGCTAAGAGCTCTCCTGTTGCTCCTATGGGATTGTAACATTGGCTGGCAGTTCCAGTGGCAGTGATGACCTCAACTCTTTCAAAAATACAGAAAAAAGCTCAAAGCTTAGCATTTCCACAGCAAGGATTAGGCCTCAAAGTCAGATTTCAGAGCAAAAACCTGTTTTTCCGCCTTGATTACTAGGGTATTACAGATGTGAATATTTATAAAATGTGAAAACACAGTTTTGGTTTAACACCCCATCGTTGTCCTACATGCTGCAGTGGAGTTAGAGTTCCTGCAGATGTCTAAACTTTGCATGTCAACAGCCAGTGAAGCAAACCCTCTAAAAGTACGCGACTACTTCCAGAGGCGGGGATGCAGCGGCAGGAGGAGGCTTTGGCACCAGCATCTTTCGTCGAGGTCCTGTGGGAACCCTCAGGTGACGGAGGTGTAGATGTAGACGAATATAACCACCAACAGATTTAGGATGGTCCCGATGATGCCCAGCACAGCTAAAATTCGCTCTTCGCGGTCATTAGTTGAGTCATCCTCTCTGCTGTGAGCGCTGCAGACATAGTGGCTTCCGGGTATCATGGTTACCATCACAGAACCCCACCACCAGAGGGCACAGTGCCTGTTGGGGACAGTCGGATGATGGTTGTGGGTAGGAGTGGGGTTGGTAAAAAAAAAAAAAAAAGATGTAGGAGGTGGCAAAGAAAGGGGAGGAGGATATTGATGAAAGAAAATCGATGCGGAAGAGAGAGAAGGAGAACTCAGGTTAAATATTTCTGAGAAAGAATGACTTTCATTAACAAACGTGTCCGTCTGACTGTAGGTAGAAACTTCTGATCTGGAAAAAATAAAAAAGATTAAATAAACATTTCTTCTTGCCATTCTTCTCCCGGGTTGTCAGGCCGTTAAAAGCCTCCATAACCACTGAATTCTGTAGTTTTCATTCAATATTTCCAACCCTCCAACTTCTCTGACAAAGAGAGAAGTTTTGTCAAAGAAGTTTTAAATACTTCATATTAAAGTTTCTTAAAAACTACGTCATTTTAAAAAAAAAACTGAAGTATTGCACTCTAAATAAGTTCTTGAAGGGTCTGTCCATGTCGCTGCTCTGCAGATGAGATCATAGACGCCTGAACAATGGAGCAAGTGGAGTAGCAAAGTGGGAGTGTAAATAAAATTGCTCCCTCATTTTTTGGCACTAAGAAATCTGATCACTCCCCGCAGTCGGAGAAACTGACAGTCTTGTTCATTCTCACTACGCTTGCAAAAAAACTAATAAAAATAACGGCTAAATGTTAGTCCCACCCTTTTTCACCTGTAAGTTATGGTGAATCTGGAAGTATTCACAGCATTTTACTTTTTTTCCCCCATATTTTATGTTTATGGACTTATTTGAAATTGTATTAAAATGAGTCTCTGTTCCCCAACACTGGTCCTCAGGATACCCTGCCCCTGCATGTTGTTGTTGTTGTTGTTGTTCTTTTTATAGGCAGTTGGCAAAAAATGTTAATCAGCATTACTGCCACCTGATTCAGATGATTGCAGTTCAACAATTACTTGTTAGTCTGCCATAAAGCAAAGTGCAGAAAAGTGCAGAAAACGTGCAGGGCAGTGTGCCTCAAGGACCAGCATTGGGAAACACTGTCCTGGATTATTTGTCAGGCTTTTCCCCTTTTAGTTCTAGATCAGTGGTCTCAAATTGCAGTCCTTGAGACCAGAGTCCTGCAACTTATTTTATTTATTACATTTTTTTCCCCGTTTGTCCTACACGCTTGAATTTAACGGCAAACTGCATCACGAGCATGCGGTCAAGCTCTGCAGAGCTAATGAGCTAATATTGGAGCCAGGTGTCCTGAAGCACAGAGACACCTAAAAGTTAAAGAGACCAACTCTTGAGGACTGGAGTTTGAGGTCGCTGTTCTGGATGAAATCGCTTGTCGACGTTATTTTCAAAATTACGTCCTTTAATCACCTTCACCTGCTGTGTTTTTTTAATCAGTTGTGTTTGCTTTAGTTATGTCCTTCTTGTGTAAAGATTTCTTTATATTCTTAAGAATACATAGATTTCTGGACACATGCAGACTGTACTCCATACATGTGTCTTGACTTCTACGCTCCCCTCTGGGCACAGGCTTCATCACTGGACCGCTGCTGCATCAAATGTGCATCAAGATATTGGACCAACTCTCCTACTCTCTCCCCTCTGCCTTCTTTTCAGAAACACATCATAATGAATTGCAGCAACTCGAGCGTTAAGTCAGTTCTAATTAATATTTCAAGACAACCCGTATAGTCAAGCCTCTACGACTCATCTTCATTACTGTAATTAGGAGCAGTCACATGTTATAATTCTGCTGCAGCCTATTTTCCTTTTATTTTTTAACTACTAGAAAACTACTGTAAAGCAGAAAATCCAAGACATTTTTTTTAACAGATTCCTGTTAATGACCCTCCATGAATATGAAAACTATGTCTATAATTTTAAATGACATTTACAAAACACCACAGGACGTCTTCGTTAATCTTTCACCATCAAACAGGAAGTGGCTATGTTTGTAGCATTTGTAAGGAGTTATTGGATATGCTTTGTGATTTACACAAGTTTCTTCCAGTATGACTACAGACAGATTGTGCTCTAAGTTGGTTCAGCATTTATTTATTTATTTATTTATTTATTTATTTATTTTTCATAAATAATAAGATTTAAGCAACATTGCTTGTTAGGATCAAGTCCTGCATAATTTTGCCTATTTATGACAAACTGGGAGTATGCTTAGCCAGTTTTGAATTAAGCAAGGAAAGCAGTTACTGTGCAGAGCAGTAGAAACTGGGGAATTCCTCATTAGCTTCCCCACTGACTATGCAAAGGGAAGCATTCTGCCCCATGAAACTCATGCATATTATTCATCATGGTTGGAGCAGATAGCCACTCTGCCTCTTCTTCCTGTCAGATCACATTATACCCAATATGATTTCTATGAACATCATCTATTTGCAATGTGTGCTACCGGAACTGTAAGAGAGAAGTCATATGGGAAGCAACAAACCACAGTGAATGTAAATCTCACCGCTTGTCAAATGCATAGCTAATATTGCAATATCATTGTTTAATTTATGCTCATAGTTACAACATCAGGGTTTTTTTTAATCACTTTTTTGCAGGTGCAAACAGTCATCTAAAGTTATGAAATGATCTCGGCAAACTTCATAAATAAAACAGTTTGCTTTATGTATTATTAGTGATAGCGTACTGAGTTATAAGTTTATGGATCTAGTCGGAATGTGATTCAAATTTACAGTAGTAAGCGAGGGATAAAAAGTTTGCCTTGGGGCAAAGAAAACTCCACGGTCCTTTTGGTTGGTCAGTTAAATTGGACTGCAATTTAACTGAGCCATAAATTGCAGTCTTGTTGATATTTAATAAAAGTTTCCCATCTTTGATGTTTTGTTTTTCAAGTTTTTAAAGTGCTTTGAAAGCAAATCAAACATTTTAAGGAGCACCACCGCTGTTGGGGAACACACAGGCGGATTTGAAGAGATTCGTCCTAAAAGTTAGTTTTGCCCTGCAGCAGTAAACCGTTCTTAAAAGCCATCATTGCTAGAGTATCCATAAAAGGGCGCGGGTACCATATGCATCGACACAATCTCTGAGAGAGAAAGAATAAACCAGACACACATTTTGCAGGAAGTTCTATTTGGAGATTTAATAGAAAGTTTTGGCCAACATGTAAAAAGCCGTGTGGCGGACAGCTGGCACAGCACATCGTCTGGGATAAACCATCCCTGTGAAACATGACGGTCACAGCATTATCCATTAGGAATGTTTTCGTGTGAAGTAGTTACAGTCAATGGGAATCTAGAGGGAGTTAAATAACCAGATACCAAAAGATCCAAGTTAAAACGTGCAAAAGACTTGTGCCTGAGGCAGAGGTTCACGTCCCATTAGGACAACCACCTCGCTCATCCAGAACTCCAATGAAAAGCATTAGTTCAATATTTATGAGTGGCACAAAGTACAGACCTAAATCCATTTGAGACTCAGTGGTGAGACTTAAAAGCAGACATTCTTCATTCTGTGTGAGATTAAGTTATTTAACCAGGAATGACGGGCAGAATCTTTTGTCCTCAGATGAACTAAACTAGTAGAGTTTATATCCCAAAGAACTAGTTGTTGTCATCACAGTGAAAGGCTCAAGTATTGAATTAGAAGACTTGAGAGGGAGAGAATATTGTTTACCAAGAAAATGATTAAGTGTCCTTCATATTCCTTCCTCTAGTTTATTGAAACTGCAGGAAGTTTTATCAGAACGTGTGCCGTAACCCCGCCATTAGACCTTTTCCCAGCTGCAGCCTTTCCTAGCATGTTGGGTTTGTTATATGCCTAGCATTTTTGTTACAAAAACATTGTGGAAGTATTTAAAGAAATTACTGGAGAACACCTTTTCTAGTGCCCTATACACACTCCTTAGGAAGAGAACAATTTGTTTTGGTTACATGAGGTCATAATAGTGAGAGCAAAGATCTTTCTGGTCCGGATACCTTTCCCACTGCAGCAGACCCACTTCATAAGTCTTGGACATCACACAGGGTGTACATCAGAACAAGCTGAAATAATTCTCAATCAAGAGCTGACATAACAATTTTGCTCCTCTAGCTCAAGGAGAGCAAAGAAGTCTCTATTCTTGCAGAGTATTTTTTGGGGGGGTTTAAAGTCTGAATTTCTGAATGTAAAAAGAAAACTTTGCAAAGCATGTTTGCTCTGTAAAATGCTTTCAGACTTGCCCAGAGCCTAGATTTCTACTTGCACAAGTAGCTCCACATCTGCACATCTGGTTACATAAAAAGGAACACAAACAATGACTAAACATATCAGCAAATAAAGACACATCTGAATTTACCTTACAAAATGTACACCTTTCACACTGTAATCCCAGAAAAAATAACATTTTTGCTCTACTTTGTGTTGGTCTGTCACATCAAAGTCTAGTGAAACATACAGAAGTTTGTGGTTGTAACTTAAAAAAAAAGAAACGTAAAGAAGAAAAAGCTCAGAGTGTGAATTCTTTTACAAGGGAATGTATGCCCAACCTCTCTGTTCGACTTTTTCAATTAAGACCTGTGACCTCGTTAACCCTGGCCACGTTCCAAGGTACACGGCGCCACTATCGCTCTGCCAGACGACAGAATGAGAAGGTCAAACATAAACAGTCTATCTGGGCTGTATTATTAAGCTGCTCATCAGGCAATGATCCGGGAGAGGACGTACTGTCTGGAGTTATTGACTGCTGCTGCTATTGACTTTTACAGAAAGTCTCGACAATGGAGTGGAGTCTTCACAGGGATCACTGAGAGACACAGGCACAGAACAAGCTGCTTCAAGACACTTCTAAGACGCAATAACCTTCAGCATCTATAGCAGAGAGACACCAGCTTTTCTGCCCCCCTTCCTCAAGCTCACACGCACACACACTCCACTGATTTAGATATGGTGTGGGAGTGGGATCGTTGTGACACTAGAATGTTCCACGGTCTCATTACGAGCTCGGCTGGCCTGCTCCACGAGCATTTAGAGCCAGCGGCCATCAAGCAACTGTCACTTCTCTTCAGCCGCAGCTCTGCTTGGTCCATGTGAGCCCATGACTTGGAAAGGGGCAACAAAGAGTGGAAAATGTGTCTCGTGTAAGATTGAGTGATTTCATGATGGGCTGAGAAAGGGGAGAGAGTACAACTTTGTGTCAAAACCTGGGATTTTAGGGAAGTGCAGTCGTCTCGCTACGTATCCCTTCATTAATCAGTGAACACCTTCAGGAATCCTCCCCACTCTGACTCGCTAATGTCTGGTCTTCAATTTGCTCCCAGGCAGGAGTGTCATGTGACCCATGGATACCACTGTCATGTGACCTAGATTAAACAGTTTGAATCACAGTGTGGAAGCATAAAGCGTCCCACTCCAGACCCTGACATCCTGTGGGTTTCTACAGTATTACATGACCTCCATCCAACAAACCCCCTGAGCTCTGTCGTCTGTATCGGAGAAATTACTCACCGACACCTATGCAAGGACACTGATATGAAAGTGTGGCAAAAAAGGGAGTGATGCGTACTCACCACACATCGCACCAGGGTGGCAGCCAAAGACTCCTTTGTTTCTTCTCTTTATCTGAGCATTTTCGTTGCGTTTCCCCCCTCTCCGTCCTTTGTGTTTCTGTCACCTCCTCTTGCTCCTTCTCCTTTTCCTTCGCCTCCCTTTCCCCCTTCCACCCGCTGCTGTTCTGGTCCAGGTCTGTCACTGGCGAGGAGAATCCATGCAGACGCTCACACAGTCTGACACAGCCGTCTTCAACGCTCAGTGTGAGCACACGCTAATCGATAGTCACACCCACATATGTGCAAAAGGAAACGGTTAAGCCATAACGGGTGCCCCACATTAACACACAGCCGGTTTGTCCACAGCTGAACGGGGAGCGTGGCACTGTGTCGTCCAGTCAGAGACTGGACAGTTTCTAACTTAACACCCTGGTGACATTAACTACCTTAGAGACAAAAGCAAAGAGCACAAGTTCGCCACCCGTCCAGCAACCCTTTGCGCCGACGCTGATTAAAGAATCTCCTCGCGTGTGTGCTCAAGAGGTCCTCCACCTGCCAAATCTCTGTAACGTGGCCATTTTCTGAGATCAGGAATTGCTCCAATCACTCCAGGACAAGATAATTATAACATAAGCCTCAGGGACATCAGCTAATCTCACCTGACAGAGATTCAGAGTAGCATTTCAGTCCAGCATGTTCATCTCTATTATCCTCAAGCGAAAGGAGGAAGGCGATCACATTGTTTCGTGGAAATGGATTCTTCCTTTCGATTTGGCTGTTCCACGTCAACATCCAGCTTTTCTCCTTTTAGTCATTCCAGTGTCTCCGAGGGGCTTCATAGCTGACCCAAGAAGCCAACTCTGGCTACTTTGTTGGGATCTTGTGTCAACGTGAGGCGGCAGCTTTCTTTATGGCCATCGTGTGACGCAGGTTGTCTGAGCTTTAAAAATCCAGTAGAATAAAAAAAAAAGCAGTTGCACAAGTTCTTTCCAGATTGGCTTGTCAAAAATCTTTAACAGGTACCTTGTGACGTATTTGTATCACAGTTGAGATTTCCGGTCTTCATGATGAATAATCCTCCTTTTTTTCAACTGTTTCTGCATTTTTTTGGTTAAATCGTTAAGTTTGCTGAGACTTATGTCACTTTTTCTCTACCTTCATCTCCCGTGGTCAGTCTTAAAAAAGCTTTCTCTCTCATTTGCAGCCCTCCGGTTTGCCTTCTCCCTTAAGCTGGGAGATGGTTACTCTGGACTTCTCCAGTGGGAAATGAAGCAATCGTTCATTAACACAGCCCTCTTGACCTTTGAAGCTCCCCATCCACAGTCCTTGCTGCAAACCTTCACTCAACCTTCCCTCAGCCACCTTCAGTCATACTAAACACTTAAGTTCCTAAACTCACCCTCCAGCAAGCTGATTCACTTGGCCTATTTCTCACTTCCCGCCAGCATGGCAGCCTCCATCCTCACGCCGTCCTTTGCCTGTCCAGTGACAGCTTACTTCTGCTCCAGCCCCTTCTGTGTTTGCTCCATATTCCTCCTTAGCAATCCTTTAGCACTGCCTCCGCTGCTCCTCTTGCATGCAGAATACAGTGTCTCCTCGCTGCTGAGCTCTGAGTCATGCAGCTCACTCTCTCCTCCCTTTTCCTTCCAGAAGCTTGCAATGCCCCCCCCCTCCTCTGCCACCACCACCTTCACACCCCCTTTTTTTTGTCTTTTTTTTATGGTGGTGCCTCGTCTCTCTAAGAACCCATCAGGATTCGTTCAGCATGTCTTTACATCTTTGACACCAGAGGAATGTGTTTGTATCATTCAGCCAAGGATTGCCTCTGGACAGACAAAAATACAAATATTGTAAGCCCGGAGACACATGAGTTTGACTGAACATTTGTGATGTTGTTTTGTCTGCGATTTTGCTAATTGTCTTACTTTGAATTCATCTCTTGCTGAAGAAATGTCTTGTGTGTGTGTGTGTGTGTGTGTGTGTGTGTGTGTGTGTGTGTGTGTGTGTGTGTGTGTGTGTGTGTGTGTGTGTTGTAGTCTCTGGTGCAGCTATGGCTTTGTTTTCCCTCCCTATCCGTTTAAAACTTGCTGTTGGTTCTTCAAGAGGCTGTCAGGGGGAAACAAAAAAACACAACACAGAAAATGTTGCCTGAATACACAACAAAATAACAGAGAGGTGCTCTGAGAAGAAAACAGAAGAACTGGAGAAGAAGCATGTGCATGAAAAATAAAAATGCCCTCAGGAAGTGTGGAAGTGACAGCAAAGGAGATACAAATGGAGAGAGGAAAGGGGAGGGGGAGGAGGAAGGAGATGAGGAAAAGAGTGGAGGAGAAGTAGGAGGAGGAGGAGGGAGATATTGTGTGGGTGGAAAGGAGACCAGATTGTGGATGGACGGAGAGTTAAGGGAACATGGGAGTTTGCAGGGATGAGAGGGTTTGTTGACAGAGGCGCATAACCAAATGAAAGGATGGAAACAAACGCATATGCATGAGTTGGCTGGTGGGTCGCCCCTCAACTAGGACATTTTTCATGCGCCTATTCGGAAGAGGCCCCTCTGACATTATATTCATCGATAATGTAACTGTAGAAAAGATCCTCAGTGAGGTGGTTCGTGGCTTGCTGGTTGATGTTTTACCTGTGTGGAACCACTGTCCGCTCTTTGACAGCATACTGCGCCTCCTTTTTTTAAATTTCTTCCTGTCTCACCGCTCTCTTGTCTGCTGCTGCAGCCTCCGCTGCCAGCGCTGTATCGCTGAAACGCAGCATCTCTCTTCCCTCTCTCCACCTCCTCTCAGTCGCTCTCATTTCCCTCCCTTCCTTCCCCTCCATGCTTCTCTCTATATTTGTCCTCCTCCGCCTGCACCTCTGTCTCCACATCTCATATGTTCACTCTTCCCATCTCCTGTCTCCACCCCCTCCTCCCCATATTCCATCAGTTCCTCTCCACCTCCCTCTCATCTAGTCCTCCATCCTACGCTTGCCGTTACATCCCCCCTCTCTGAAGGAAGCTTCGAGAACGCAGTGGACAGACTTGGGGAGAGGGGAGCTCTATGGACACGTGGAGCAGCATTCATTACTCTGCCTTATGAATAAAACGCATATAAACACATTCATGTCCTCTCGTGTGCATGCATGTCTTCATCGGGTTGAACAACCTGACAAATGAAGCAAGGGCTTTGTGATGCATACACCTGAGCAATATCTATGACACAACCTCATGCGCTCAGACTTTTTTTCCCCACTGAATCTGAATGGAATATTTAATAGAAATGTATTTAGATAACATTCACATGACAGCAGAAATCAATTTTATAGACATTTTGGAAAAGGACATCTTAAATCCTGTGAATTTCCAGGGTTTCCTGTAATTTTTTATTTTTTATTTTTTTGTTCGCAGACAGATTAAGCCAACAAAGCTCACAGTTTCCCAGTTTTTATCAAACACTTTCTGTGGCCACCCAGGTTTGATCAAGGCTGATAATTACAACGTGGCTCGGTCACAGCACATTTGCAAACCTCATTTCAGGTTGAATGGGTCTCATGGTGAACTGTCCTCTAGTACAGAGAAATTCAACGCTGGTTGAAGTATTTCAGTATGAGGTACTGTGGGTACTTGGGCTTCTTGTTTCCCAAACATTCACTTTAAGTGAATTATTCTCTCCAAATTGCAATAGTCTTCACATCTTCCTCTAAATTGTTGTCATACACACATTTATGCCCCTTAATAACGTTTTAATGACAAGATAATTGAGATCAGCGCACAAAGTGATCTGCAGCCACCCAAACATTTCCCCATAGCTTTTTCTTTCGGCACCTGAAAACGTATGCAGTTTACTAAGCACATAAAACAAAATGGGCATTTTGTGAGAGATGGCATTATATAAAGAGTTTTTCTTACTTTACTGGAAAATGAAATCAATATATCCTTCTGCTTTTCTTCAAATAAAAGTTGAGAAACCAATTTTAGCTACACCATGGCTGCCTCTGGCTAGTGAGCCCAGTCTTTAATTGAACTTTATAAGAGCTTGGGTCAACTCAAAAGCCAGAATAGCAAGCATGCCTTTCTACATACAAATAACCTCAGGTAGGCAGTTTTATTTTTATTTTAGTTAGAAAAATCTCTCCAGATCTTAATGTAATCTGTGCTAATCTAAATATATTCTATCGTGACACAATCAAAAAGGCTGGTGCTTCTTCTGAGTTAGCCGTTTTGGTATTTGCTAAAAATAACACGGAAAGGGTGATGAATCAAATCTCCCTCGCCGTTGAGCAATTTTTTTTTTTTTTTTTGCTTGTCTTAACCTTGAAAGCACATTATTAATGTATGAGTGAACATATACAGTAGGACTCAGCCCGGGAGCTTACAACTCCATGACACCACGCTGTAAAAATATATATATATTCAGGATTTCTTCTTCCGTTGGCTTAATTTCTCTTATCAGGAGTTTGTTTACTTGTTGTAGGCCATGCCCCCCCCCTAACCAGGAACAAAAGAACGAGTCAGAATCTAATTGAAGTGATAATTAGTATAATATTTTGCTCCCTCATAATTGGATTTTTTTTTAGTAGAATAGGAAGTTTGTTAAACAAATTTTCATATTATCTAAATATATTCTGACTAAATGTCAGTCTAAAAACCTTTGCCATTGCTTGCAATTCTTCTTTGGGTTTTTTAAGCTCTTTTCCTTGAACTTTATTTTCTTTCTAATCTATGCACTTGACTATACTTCATTTCTTTTTTCTGTAAGAATTGACACTTGACCCACTTTTCCTTCTAGATGAAAACTTGTAACTAGATAAGACATAGACAGTGATTTGCAGGGAGGTTCATGATGGATGAGGCAAATATATAAAATCCAAAACAGAAACGTGTATTACGTAGTATTACATAAAGTGCACTTTCTTAATCCCAGAGACTGGGAAATTATTGGGGGACAGGAACATGATATACATAAAACAGACAATATATTCAACATAAGTAAAAATCAAATACAAGATGGAATATAAATTTTTAAAGCTTTTAAGTAATCAGTTTCATATTGTTATTCTATATAATGATAGCAAAAATATACATATATTTTTTTCATGCAAGGCAATATTTTGGTTAATTCTTTTTAATTCAATTAATTTTTTTCTTTTTTGGCTGATTTCTTATTTTATAAAAATTGAAAATCATATATGCTCTCATGTTTCTTCGTTTAAAACACATGTTTCAAACTCAAGGCCCGCGGGCCACATGTGGCCCGC